TTTTTTTTTTATGTGGGGAAAATGTTTTCTTACATGAAATAAAATAAAAAATAAAATAATTATATTTAAAATACAATAAAATATTATGAAATGTGTAATATTTTATGCATTGCATTGAATAAAATAAAATATAAAATCACATTACATATAAAAATATGATAAAAGTATAATAACATATATAAATACATTTTTTCATGCATTAAATAAAATATAAAATGTTTAAATACTTGTTTTGTTTTGTTTTCCAGCGGAGGAGCCTTTTCTTATTCTTGCTGACCATCATGAAATCCGAAAGATCAGTCTGGATGGATCAAACTACACTCTTCTAAAACAGGTATGATGGATAAAGCTCTCTAAAACATACAATTTTACTTATACAGTTGTTAAAAATCTCTTTTTATAACCATTATTGTAATTTTTGTGCTCACAGATGCCATCCTGTTTAGCTCAAACTCTTTAGTGTGTTTCCTCCATATTCACATTTAATTTCCTACTTATTTCTTTCATAAAAACACATGATCACAGCATATGGAGCTTAATATAGACACAACATCCAAAAGCTCAGAGGAAACTGCAGTATCAACAGCCACCTGTGATGCTTTATAGAAATTCCCAAGCTCAAACTGAGCTTGAAACAGCATTTTAGACACTTGATTGACGTGAATATCAACATCCGGGAATATCTGCACACGGAAAAGGTCATATTGTGACTGGAATCGCAACTATTTTCCACTTAGTATTGAAAATGATGATGTGTAAGTTATGGCTCCTTTAATCATTCTCAACTGGTAAATATATCATTATAGTAGTCGTTATTAATGAAAACATCAGTTATGGTCTTTAAATCAGTATGAAGCTGCTTGTAAATGCAAAAGGAACCATGACCGATTTGGCTCTGAAGGGACCGTCGGATGAGAAAGTCTCTCACGGCCCGTGTGTGAAGAGATTGAGCGGCTTGCCATCGAAGGAGCAGTTAAAAACGCACGCTTGGGTTGATTCATCAGTCCGGAACTCCATCAGTTTGATTTAAAAGGTCTGGTCCAGCAAATTAGATCTGAACGCGGCGAGGGGTTTGAGTGAATGAGACAGAACGACAGAGAGAGAGACGGCAGAATGTGAAAGACCCCTACTGGGAAAGTGATTGGCTATGGGCCTAGCAGTGCATGATGGGAAGTTTCTGTCAGACGGAGAAAGTCTCGCTCTTATTTCGAACCGAAGGTAGTGAAAATAACAAAGCAAATTAGAAAGGTATAGAGAAAGTGGCGGGAAGATGCTGTAATGAGTCGGCATGGACTATAAAAGATGCATGTTTTGATGTTTGGCTTTTTTTTTTTCATTATTATTTTTTTTGGACTCATGCTCATACCATCCAAATTCTTCCATTTGCTTAAATTAAATGGTCTGAATGGATTTGAAAAGACCAAATTATTCACTTTTCATTAATGGTTGATAGCTGCTGAAGATTTGGACTATCAGATAAATACTCATGGTGGCAAAGGAAGTTCGAGTCTGGCTCGCAACAAATTCTGGCCACAATCCTGTCCTCTTTATACTTTTTGTTTGTTTGTTTTTTTATATTTATCAATAGCATTATATTAGAAATAAGCATGCAAACACGGTAATGACAAAAATATATTTTCATGTACTGAAATAGAAGTAAAATAATTTGAAAACCTAAACAAAACCTAAAAACATTTGCCTCCAAAACAAAGAAAAATTTATTTTATTTTATTTTGAATTTAATAATAAATTACATTATTATATTAGGTTGAAATAATTTAATACTTTAAAGTTTTTTTTTTTTGTAAAAACTGGTGGAAAGAAAAGAGAAATAGTGGAAATATTTAAACGTGTTAAATATAGTTTATTGTTATATATAGTTTAATATACTTTTATTTCAGTTTTAGTAATTTTAGTACTTTAATAACTTTTTTCTTCCCTGAAGCAACATTTCTAATTTTTGTTTTCATTTAATTTTAGTTAATAATAATAATACAAATAATAGTTATTATTATTATTATTATTATTATTAAAAGTATTATAATAAAAAAAATCCGCAAAAACCTTTTAATTTGTGTTAGAAACGATTGGTCTAATAGATCTCGTTATTTGAAATATAATTTTTCAGGTGAAGTGAAAAATTAGAATTTATCCAGTTTAAAAAACAAATCCTCTGACTTTCCTTTCCTTTTAAAATCTAATCTGTCAATCTCACGTTTGCCTGTCTCTCTCTCTCTTTGTCTTTTTCTCTGCAGGGACTCAGTAATGTACTCTCTCTAGACTTTGACTACAGGAAGGAGTTGATCTATTGGATTGACACTAGCAGGCCCAGCGGACGCAGAATAAACAGAATGCGCCTGAATGGAAGTGACCTCAAGGTACATTTGCGAGTGTGTTTGTGTGTGTGTTTACGTTGAATTACTCTTGAAATAACCCAGAAATGCCCAGATTGACATATGCAAATACCCTCTGCCCCTGGGTAAATTTTGATTCCAATGGGGGGAAAGCAGACATATTTACATCACTCCAACAAATAAATAAAAGCTTTTTGTCTGAGAATAACTGGTATTTCTGGTATGAAATGAGCTGGGGTTGAAATGATAGACCACGCAGTGTGTGTGTGAGGCTGTCTGTCTTCATACTCCTCTCCATCAATGCCCTTGTGTATATTACTCGGGGAGGAAAACGGGCATAGTGTGCCAGCCTTGCCCTGCTGGGCCGCCAGAGCTCGTTACGTTTAATATCGAGCCATAATGGCTCATTAAACTTGATTGAACTCTGGATCTTGAACTGATTTATGGTAGTGTGCTATAGTACAGAGAAAAGAGAGAGAGAGAGGGAGAGGTAGAGCTTCTGTAAAGGCAAGGAAGTTAAAAATGTGGTAAAGGTAAAAATGCTCTTGGTAAATGCTTTGAATGATTGCAAATGAGCCAGATTCTCCCGAGACGTCTAGAGAGATTTGAAGTGTTGTGGTTTTTATCACTAGGCGCATTTCCATTACAGATTAGCGCAAAACTTTGGCGATATTTTATAAATGTCGATAAAAAAGTATTAAACTTTTTTGCGATAAATGGGCGTTTTTGCGAAATTGACGCGTTTCCATTAGGCGTATTTTCAATTCTCAATTTCAATTTGCGCAATTTGAAGGGTAATGGAAATGCGCCTACTGTTTCACAGGCATTATGAATATTCAGTATGATGTGCCTGTCACTTTGCATGAAAATACTGTAGTAGCAGTACCAGTTTCGACCATTGGTGGCAATCTGGAAACGCAATTTATTTATTAATTTTTTCCACAAGATCAGTTTGATCTCAGTGTTGTGAGTATTTTAGTTGTAAAATTTTATTGTAAAATTTACAATTTTTTAAACGCAATCACACATCCTTTTTATGTTAATTAAGCATAAATGTATATTATGTAAATTATCGCGAATTGTGCCATGCAGCTCATTGTTTGGGCATGTTTGCAGCATTACCTGTTTTGCATTCCTTAGTTTTCAAATTTCCTGGTTTAGATTGCATTGTTAAGAGTAAACGAAGCATAGATATGTAGCATTATATATTTTTTTTTACAGTCAAAAATAATGTAAAAGACCAGTAAATAAAATGTTTACAAACATAATACAGAATATAAACATGTATTGTAATATCTTTCACTTTACAACAAAACCTTTAAATTGAACTGTATTCAGAACAGGAATGCAAAATATAAGTAGTATAAAACAAGCATCAATTATAGTGACATTTATTATTATAAACAACAAGCCTAAATTAGTTTATTTAAAGCAAAATGTGGAAAATGCACTATAGAAATAAATTTAGGCTCATGCACCTCCCCTATTCGGCACAAATCAAAATGTGTGCACTTTGTGTATGTTTTGCGTGCAATGCGTTATTTTGACTTAACTGACTTAGTAATTGAATTTGCCACATTTTGTTGCTATTGTTTTGCTTGCCCAGTTCATATTTTTTTACACTTTCACCCAGTGGTGTATCCCCACTCTGTGGTTCTGTACCATTTACCTGAAGATGCTAGTTTCCCCGGTGAGCACAGCATCTAGAAAACCTGTGATGTCGAAATTCATCATGGCTAGGCTAGTTTTAATTAGCGCTGATGGTACGGCCCAGTCTGAGGCAAAATGTATTTAATGTTCATCTCTAATGTTCATCAGCTTGCAGAATGTTACTCTTACTCTTAAAGCGCTAGGCAGGGGGCACCAGCAACCAAGAGCGAAAATGATTAAAAGCACTGGATTATCCGCCAGCTGGAAAGAGTATTGTTTATGCCAAACAGGCAGTTTCTGTGATCAGAATGAGCAGTGAAATGTTGTAAAGTGCCTTTTTTAAAACTACTTCTTTTGGGAACTTTTCTTGCCATTTTTGGGGAGTTTGAAGTGCTGTAATGAGCGGTTATGTAACCCGCTGATAATTAGCAATAATGTACAATAATAATTTAAAGTCTAGCTCAGCGTTCTCTTGGTTTTAGGACCCCAATTCTTCATTTACAGTCGAGAGTTTACAGGTTGCTAATAGAAATACACATCTAGAGATTATCATAGCCTTGAACTTATCACTGCAAAGAAAGAAAGCACCTTCACACCCAACTTTATCCTATGTTTACTAGTTGTTGAGCGTTGTTGCTGTAGTTTGACTTTTTGCTGTGAAAACTTGCTAATTTGCTGGCTAACTGCTATGCTAACTATTTTTGTGGACTTGCAAGCCACTAGTTGAGAACTGCACATCTAGAGATTATCATAGCCTTGACTTTTTCGTTTTATTTGAAAAAAGAAAACCCCATTCACTCCCACTTTATCCTACATTTACAAGTACGTTGTTGTTGTTGTAGTTCAGCTTTTTGCAGTGAAAACTTGCTAATTTGCTGGCTAAATGCGATGCTAACTGTTCTGTGAACCTGTAAACCATCAATTAAGAAACAACACATCTAGAGGTTATCATATCCTTGAATTTTTCATTTTATTTGAAGAAACAAAGCCCCCTCACACCTACATTTACAAGTAGTTGAATGTTTTTGTTGTTGTAGTTTGAGTTTTTGCAGTGAAAACTTGCTGGATAAATGCTATGCTAGCTATTTTTGTGGACCTGCAAACCACCAGTTAAGAAACAAAAAATGCATAATTGGGTTTACATGAACATATTTCTGTTTGTTTCTGGTTAAAAAATAGCATTTAAATTCCTGTCATGACAATAACTGTTGGCAGAAACAATAAAGCCTTACTTTGTATGACTCTACCAGCAAGTGCACAGCTGTATCTCACACTCACCATTCTGAACTTTTCTGCTAGGAAGCATTTGTTCCCTGCGGTACTGGCTGTGGATAAATCCGTGTGAATAACCGGCCAAAAGAGACCGACTGTACTTGACTGCTGTTTTCTCAGGTGGTTCACAGGACGTCGGTCCCCAGTGCTCTCTCTGTGGACTGGATCGGCAAGAATCTGTACTGGTGTGACGGCGAGAGAAAGACCCTCGAGGTGGCGAAAGCTAATGGACTCTACCCGACTGTACTGCTGAGGACTGGCTTGAGAAATCCAACCGCTCTGGCTCTCGACACTCTCATGGGGTAAATGATGCTTATTATTGCCTATTGTTCGCAATCCCAGAACGCATTGCTTTTGAGTAGACTTTTAAGAAGCACTGCACCATTTAAAGCCATTTATTCCCATGGTGCCTTAGATTTGTGTTCTGGATCGACTGTTGCGAGCAGCCCCAAATTGGACGGATCGGCATGGACGGCAGCAAGCCACGTGTCATAATCGATACAGAAATGCATTCTCCCTCAGCCTTGACCATTGACCACATCAACAAAAGGATCTACTGGGCCGACGAGAACCATATCTTATTTTCAAATATGGATGGTACAAAAAGACACAAAGGTAAGTTTTGCCTTGTCTCGAATGTTATCTCGTCGTGTTTCGAATTGTCCTCAATAAGATCTCTCAATCCCAATTTCTAGTCCCAATCAAGGACATAGGTGGCGTAACGGGTCTCACACTGTTTGAGGACTTCATCTACTGGTGCGACCAGAAGTCGAAAACCCTCAGTCGCTCGCACAAGACATCCGGCGGCCAACATACAGAACTTCTCAGCTCCTGGCAAACCATTCGAGACATTAAAGTCTGCCATCCACTCCGACAGCCTGACGGTATTATGGCAAGAAGCTCTTGTCAGCTTGGATTAGTCTTCAGATGACTTTTTGTGCTAGAGCCGCATGTTGTTTCGGCCTTGTTTTTTATTGTTTGCTGTTTGTCCTCAGTGCCAAAGCATCAGTGTCAGGTGACTAATGGAGGGTGCAGTCACCTATGCCTTCTTTCCCCTGCTGGGGGATACAAGTGTGCTTGCCCTACGCACTTCTACCTGGCGAACGACAACAAAACCTGTTTGTCTAACTGCACCGCCAGTCAGGTGTGACTTTATAATTACCTCAGGAGCCAGAATAAGGGTTTCGCTGTAGCTCAACTACTCATGGCACCACTTTCAACTACCAATTATATCCAGTGTGCTACTCGATAAATAGTTGTTCAAGAGGTTGTTTCTCTGTGTGTGTAGTTCCGCTGTGGTACGGATGAGTGTATTCCCTTCTGGTGGAAATGCGACACCGTGGACGACTGCGGAGATGGATCCGACGAGCCGGCAGATTGCCGTAAGTAGCCAAACATGGTGGAAGTCAGCCAAACTGGTTAAGCTGGTGAAAAGTACATAATTGTAGTGCCTTGTAGTGTCTATAGGACTCAAAATCTAGTAAGCTGCCTACCTAGAGAGAAGGGATCATAGGTGAGATTACTTTTACGATATCTTGTTTGGCCAAATTGGAAGGCAGCATTGAATGTATCCATTACAGAATGCAATGTAGAAAAATAATTGAATTGAAATTTTTAGAGTTTTAAGAATTTAGAGTTGTTGTGCTATTAGCTTAGCAACATGCTAACATCAAACTCTGTTGGAATCCCTTCTGATTTGTGTCTTTGTTTGCAGTAGACAGAAAGAAAGCTCCCTAGGTTGAGAGATTTGGTCCTGATAATTCACTTCAATATATATTCCACTTGTGAACTTTGAGTGTCTTTAAGTGACTCCACGATCAATTACGATTTCTTTAAGCTCAACTGAAAGAAAGAAATTCTTTAGACATTTGAGCTATTTATTCTATGAGTTGTGCACAGGAAAATCTTTTTGTGACAACTTATTCCTGTAATTTTGCTCGCCGGTTCATGGAGCGATTATTTTTGAATAAAGATTTGTCTGTCATCAAGTTTATATTCAAGTATTTCTTTGAATGGGTCATTTGTAATGTGCTAGCACTTGCTTGATTGAGAGGTGAATAGTCTAATTCACTGCAAAGAGCTGCAGAAATGGATCAGGTTTTGTGAAGTATTTGTCATCTCGACTAGCAGTTTATCGCACATTGAGATGCTATAGAGCCAAAGCTGACAGCGAACAATAGACATTTGTGTTAAACTCCAGGAAAAAAAGAAAGGCACCTTTCTATAGTATGCTCTTTCTTTCTGTGCAATATGTCTGTCTGACTCTCTGCCTGTGTTTTGTTTTATCTCTGTCTTTCAACTTTTCTGTCTTTATTTTGATTGTTTGCTCATTTAGCTGAACAATTGCTCATTTACTCACTCACTTTATTCACATGTTCTTTGTTATTACTTTGTTCTGTTTGTTTGTTCATTTATTGTCTTGCTATCTTTCATTTTTTCCTCTTCATTTTTGTTTATTTGTCCTTGTTTGTTTATTCTGTATGTCTTTCAATCATTTCTGTCTTTCATTTGTTTATTTACTTGTTCATTCACTCATTCTTTCTTCATTCATTTCTGCATTTTCTTGTGCATTATGTCTGTTTGCCTTTGAATCTTTGTTTGTCCTTATTTATTTTTTTCTTCTTTCTTTCTTTCTTTCTTTCTTTCTTTCTTTCTTTCTTTCTTATTTGCTCATTTTGTTTGTCTTTCTGTCTGTCTTAAATTTTCTTTATTTTTTTATCTTTGTATATCCTTGTATTTCTTTCTTTCTTTCTTTCTTTCTTTCTTTCTTTCTTTCTTTCTTTCTTATACATTTATCTGTCTTTCTTTCATTTGCTGATTTCCTTGTTCATTAATTCATTCTTTGTTCTATCCTTTTCCATTAGTTTATTTGTTTAAGCTGTCTGTCTTTAAACCTTTCTGTCTGTTTTTCATTTATTTTCTTTCTTCTTTCCTCTTTTTGTTTGTTCATTCTGTTTGCATTTCTGTTTTGTCTGTGTTTCTTTTATTTATTTGTTTATTTTATTTCTTCTGTTGTTTTTATTTCTCTCTCTCTCTCTCTCTCTCTCTCTCTCTCTCTCTCTCTCTCTCTCTCTCTTTCTTGCTTTCTTTCTTTCTTTTTTTCGTTCATTCGTTCATACATTTGTTCTTTCTTCTGCTTACAGCGGAGTTTAAATGCCAGCCCGGAAGGTTCCAGTGCGGAACGGGTTTGTGTGCCCTCCCTCCCTTCATCTGTGATGGAGAGAATGACTGCGGAGACAACTCGGATGAAGCCAACTGTGGTAATTATAGATTGATAGATGGATAAATGGAGACCAAGCATAATGCAGTATGATGTATCATACAGTGATATCCTTGTTTGCATTTGTTTTCAGACTCGTATATCTGCCTGTCTGGCCAGTTTAAGTGCACTAACCGGCAGAAGTGCATCCCTATAAACCTGCGCTGTAACGGACAAGATGACTGCGGAGATGGTGAAGATGAAACCGATTGCCGTAAGAGACACTAGGACTCATTTTTTCTCTCTCTCAAATTTGACATAGATGACAATGATTGGCATTCGTTTTCATCGTTACTTAAAGAATCCTGTTGAGCTAGATTTCCCATCAGGAGAGGAAAACACCCAAAATGAGAGCAAAAGAGGTCGAAAATAGATTTAAATCTCCTCCTTTATGACTTCTGAATGTGTTTATTGGCTCACGAAGGTCAAACTCAGACAGATTCAACAAAATGTTTGAGAACTTTGAATCGGTTGATGAGAAAAGTGTCAAGCGAGGAGCCTGGTAAACATTCCCGAAAGTTTTGTTTTGTTTTCTCATTCCTCGGCTGCAAAGCGCTTTCGAAGGAAATGAGAAAAAAAAGAAAGCGAGGTAGACTCGCTAACCAGGAAGCAAAGAAGCCGTCCTGTGTCACCTTCAGAAGTCAGGCTGCAGTAATCATTACTTTGTGCAACGGGGATTTGAATTCTAATCCAAATGCAAGTCTTATTTTAAGTGGCGGTACAGAAGGAGGAGACTGGCAGAAGCTGATGCTCTCGCTCAGATCTGAATCCTCCATTTGAAGCCACAGCAGGAGCCTAATTTCTCACTCCTCCCCAGAGCCGAGTATCTGGCTGGGTTTTGATAAGACGCCCGGTTCTGGTACGCCCTTATGGGAGAGCGAAGAAGATAAGCTGTCTGTCTTCTCCGAGAGAGAATCAGAAAGAAAGAAATAAAAATCAAGGAAAATCATTAACAGAGTTGGATGGGACGGAGCCCGGAGGGTCCCCAGAACTCTAAGAGGCTTTTGAGGGGGTCTGACGGATCCAGGGGAGCTGAGCTCAGCCCTGGGCACTGATTAGCCAAACAGAGGGAGGGTTTAACAGGGAAAATCGCATATGGAGCATGGCATTAGTGGCCGGCTTTAGACCTCCCCCCAAAGGAGAGAGAGCACTGTGGGTCAGGATTGCTGCTCCACCACCGGGAATCTCAGGTCTAGGCTTAGCTTAGCTTAGCACGCAACGGTCTGAAAACAGAGATGAAGTTGATGTTAGTCAGACCACCAGGGTACATTCTTGTTTTAATTGTTTTATCAGGAATTAATCATGCTTAGAGGAAGCATAAAATGTTTAGAAATTAATCCAGGTGGACCTCAAAAAAAGTTCTCCAGGAATTTGTATTAGCCATAACTTAAACTCAAATTCAAAAGTAAAAGAAACTACACAGTATGGTGTATTATGTATAAAGACTACAAAATGATTATTATTATTATTTGACATGTTCAGCATATTTTCAAAAAAGCCCACTCCCTTAAAAAGACACACATTAATTAAACTGTAAATTGTAGGTAAATTGTATATCTGTAATATATTAGACTACAGGAACTTTCAAAAAGTGTCGCAGTAGAAAAAAGCCTCGACAAACTGTTGGATTCCTAAAGTAGCTCTAAAATCTGAAAAAGTTAGTCTGCGGAAAAAGTTAGTCTGTGATTTGTCAACTGAACTTTTCATCTCAAGGTTTTGATCACATGATCTCCTTCTCTCCACGTCTCCAGCCGAGAACACTTGCTCGCCGTCCCAGTTTCAATGCAAGACCACAATGCACTGCATCTCCAAGCTGTGGGTGTGTGACGAGGACCCCGACTGCGCCGACGGCTCGGATGAGGCCAACTGCGGTGAGTCGCTCGCCGTCGCCACGCATTACCTCACACTCGTCATCACCATAAAATATAAATATCCTCCTTAAAATTCAGTGTGAGACATTTCTGTTGGTCTGAGCTCCTAAAACATTCCATTTGCTTTAATTTTGCACCGACTGTTTGCCCAGAGGACTGACGCAGATGAATAAAGATCTTTCATAACCGACGACTTGGAGTTCCTACTGTAATCTTGGGGTTTTGAGGATGTGCTAGCGCGCTAAGAGACGTTTCGCTGAAAACCGCTCACCCGAGCTCTAACGTTTTCTCAGGGCGAGCGTTGTCAGATTGCATTGTGTTTGCTTTATGAGCAGCTAATCGATTAGTCTTCTCCATTGGACCCAAAATGGATGATTTAGTGCGCTATAATTATGCAGATTCAGTTTTTTCTCTGTTTTAACTGAGCACTGTTCCATGTGTCTTGTAAAGCAGCTGCTTTGGCTTGTAGACGACATGCAACTATTCCAGGGGAAGTGATTATTGTTTAGAAGTTGCTCATTGTGGCTTCTTACTTATTTTACTATCAACTTTGACATGATGCATGTTTTTAAGCTCATTATGTGATACTTTAAAAAATATAATAATTAATATAATTTAATAATTGTAATTTTGTATTTTTAATAATTTAATAATGAATAATTTATGAATACATGTATTTCAAAATGTGAAATTATATTACAATTATATTACAACTTTATCAACCATTATTATACTCAAAATATATTTTAAGATTGTAAAACTTTACTTGCTTCCCAAAGTACATATTTTAATATAATTTGTCATTTTAAGGTTTAAATGAAATACATTTTCAGAATTGTTTGCTTGTATTCTGGATTTGATGCGTTTTGTGGGTCGAAAAGGCTGTAGCGCTACTAAGGACTTTATATTATACAACTGACGTACTCAAGATGGTTTAGTGTTGACTTTAGTCTTTAAGGGCCCTATCATACACCCGGTGCAATGCGGCACCAGGCGCGACGCAAGTGTTTTCTGCTAGTTTCAGCCTGACGAAATAATCATTATCACGTCCTGCACCACGTTGTTTAAATAGCGAATGCATTTGTACCCATTTGTGCGCCCATGGGCGTGCTGGTCTGAAAACGATATGTGTTCATGCGCATTGCTGGCGCGTTGCTATTTTGAGGCAACTGAGATTGCGTTAGTAATATGCGCCTATAGGCGGGTGCACAACGCACGTACACTTTGCTTATTACACACACAAGGATGCGCAGCAGCACGCAAACATTTTTAAAAATGAAAAAATTAAATTCCGCCATGTAAATAGCGAACCCGCCATGGCGCGAGCACAGCTGGCTCTCAAAGGGAATGGGAGATGAGACTCTGATTGGTTTATTGCTCGTTATACCCAAAACACACCCATTACTCATCAAGAGAATAGGGACAACCCTTTTAGACCATGCGCCGGGCACGCCGACCGTTTTTCCCGTCGTTAAACAAGCAAAAGTGAATTTGGACACACCCTAAATGCACCTGTGCCTTGCGCTTTAGATCATGCGCTTAGATCGTTAAAATAGGGCCCCAAAGCCCTCACCTCTTCAACAAAAAGACTTTCTCTGTGTGTCCTTTTTGTCAGTGTCATTTAGCACTTTGAAGGCCGCTCTCACATTATTGCTTGTCGTGTTTCTCTCTGCAGCTTGTAATGGCTGTCAAGTACATTAGGTGACATTGCAGTAACAAATTGTCTTGTAAATAGTTTTTTATTTTATATCGATCCATCCAACATAATAAAACGAAATAGTTTTCATAAATGCTGTCCATTTTTGCTCAGCACCGAATCTCAGTTACCGTCCACCTCTACAAGGGAGCAACTAACCCACTGGCTTTCATTACAGGGGAAGTTTAGTGCATTGCAAGAAGGAAGTAAGCTGAAGTTTGACATCATTTTGCCGTTTGGGACTTTGGAGAAAGTTTTTCACTGAAGTAGTGTTCTTCAAAACATACTGAAGCTTTTCTAGTCACGGAAATATACTTTTAAGTTGAGTGCAAAATTGTCTAGTATAATAGAATTAAACTTTTCCTGACCTGTCATGGCTTACAATACAAATGTTTACATTTTGAGTAATTAGATTTTTTTTTTTTTTTTAGTTTTCAGATTTCTTCTGAAAATTCAAACCCATGAAATTCTAACATAGGCAAAATAATTATTAGGTTTGTTTTGTTTTTACAGTTTTTTAAATTATTATAATATGACAGTATTTTAATTTGTTTTTATTAACTAATTATTTTAATTATATTTATTTAATATTGATAATAATAATATTTTTTAATAATTGTATGCTTTTTATTTAGTCCTGTATCAGACAGAAGTGTGAGGTTTATTATGTTGTTAAAGTCTCAGAAATTATTACAATTATTGCAATTGCAATTGCAATTTGTGATACTAATTATAATAATGAGTTGAACTATTTGAATATATATATTTAAATATTTGTAAATAATTATTAAAGTATTCCACTTAATTATATAAATATTGCATCATTAAATATTATTATAATATCAGTAATTAAAATGTTTGTTTGTTTATTTATCATTGTTTATTATTATAATCATCTATAGTAGTAGTAGCAGTAGTAGTAATAATAATAAAGTTTTCAAAATTATTTTTAATTATTAAACTGTTCGTTAAATATATTAATTACATATTGAGTTAGTATTTCAATCTCAATAACTATTCAATATATTTTATGACATAATTTTGAGTAAATGTTTTAGTTTATATAATATATATTATAATATTTTAATTTGTTTTACTTATTTGGTTATATCATAATTTGTATTTTAGTTATATATTTTTATACTACTACTACTAATAATAATAATACTAATATAAAAAATGGCTAAATATTGGACAAAAGTGTGAGGATTATGATGTTCTTAAAGTCTGAAAAAGCTTTAGTTCTCAATGAGGTCTTTTTCTGTCTCTCTGTGTGCTGGTACACATAGTGTACAGTCTTGGACGATATTGTTATTTTGAAGGATGTATTGGATTTCCCTAGATTCACAACACAATCATGCACTTTACCTCATTGAGAGGATATAATGGAATATTCACATTTACCCAGCATAATACTGTATTGATTTTTAACCCTAAATTCCCTAAATGTCTTTCTGAATGTCCATCAGCGGAGTGGAGCTTCATCATCAAAAAAATCAATAACTTGCTCACATCTCTTTGGAAATGGGGCTTTTCCTAAGAGATACTAAGATGAAACGCATCCACTAGTGCACAAGATTCAAGGAAGACATTGATACAGTGTATTGACAGCTTGACTGAGATGAAAAGGGGACTAGAACTTTTAATGGAAATGGACATTGGAAAATTAATAGAATGAGTGCAGTGGACTGGACTAGAACGCTGGGGTCTTGAGGCAGATTTTTTTATTTTATTTTATTTGGAATTGTCACATCTTCAACTTAAAAACTCTTCTTTCATGTGGCAAGACCCAGAAAAAAGCTTAATCACGCACCACTATTAATTACCTGAATCTAAATATACCAATTATTTAAAGGGGTCATATGCTGCGATTTCAATTGTTCCTTTCTCTTTGGAGTGTTACAAGCTCTTGGTGCATAAAGAAGATCTGTAAAGTTGCAAAGACTAAAGTCTCAAATCCAAAGAGATATTCTTTATAAAAGTTAAGTGTCAACCACGCCTACCTAAAACGGCTCGTTCTAACACGCCCCCACATGTCTACGTCACAATGTGGGAAGATTTGCATAACGCCGCCCAAATGTTCACGCAAAGAAAGAAGGCGTAACTTTTATTCTCGCAGTAGTATTGTTGTTGCCGCCGCCGCCATGTCGTGAAGGCGCTTTGTGTTTTGTTGTGAAAGCGAAACTACGTTGTTTGGCCTTCCAAATTGGGGACCGGAATGATGGTGGAGCATTTGAAGCAGCAGGGAACTTCAGACAGCTCCAATGATCTGTTGAAGGTCTGTGTGAAGATGGGGGCGAGTTGGTCAGCACAGACTTTTAAACAGGCAGGG